TGTGGACCCCTTAAAATTTTATGAACCCTAGGCACTGTGCTTACTGTGCCTTTTGGATAAGTCAGCATAGGAGGTGGGGAAGTTTGGGCCAAGAACATTTTGGATAGAGAGAATAGCATATAGAGAAGTTTCTAGGGGCTTACTTGCTCAGGGAATTAAAAGGCTAGAGCGGGGAGAGCAGGAGAGGATGGCATGAGGGAGGTTGGTGAGGCATGCCATATTAAAATAATTGAATTCTTATAGAGGCCATTTAAAAATAGTAAATTAAATAACACTGATCCAACGCTGATTTTCTTTTTTAAAGATAAGATCTCGCTCTTTTGCCCAGACTGGAATGCAATGGTGCAGTCATGGCTCACTACAGCCTAAACTCCTCGGCTCAAGCCATCCGCCCATCTTAGCCTCCGAATAGCTAGAATTATATAGCACACACCACAATGCCCAGTTAATTTTACTTTTCAGAGACAGGGTCTATGTTGCCCAGGCTTAATGCTGATGATTGATATAAAATAAGTATATTGTAATGGAAGTCAGCGATTTCAGCCAAACTATGGCAGATGTAAAGAAATGGGTTAGGCAAAATTTCATCTAAAGTCAGTATATACACTGAAATAGTGACAGAGAAAATCATATAATGTCTGGGATTTGCTTCAGAATAATACAGGAAGTATAAATGAAACAAGATTAGCCATGAATTCTCAATTAATGAAGCCAGACTTGAGGTTCATAGGGGTTCATTTTATTATCCTGTCAACTCCTCTGTTTCTGGCTTTCCATACTAGTTTTTATTTAAAAATAAAGCCAAGATATAAAGAAACATCAAAACCAAGAAGCCATGGGTTTTGATAAAGATGACAGATATAGCTCATAAAAATGATAACATTATATAACAAAAATAAAGACACAAAACATTAAAAATAAAAAAGAAGACATAATTGTGATATATGTAATTTATAGATTTAATATTCTTAATATGATTATGATTCTTATCAATCTAGAAAAAATTCAAAGACCCCACCCACAAGAAAAATTTGGCATGGCTCATGAATGGGACATTCATAAAAGAACTTAAAATTCAAATAAAAATATAAAAAGATACTCATGCTCAGTAGTAATCACACATATGAAAATTAAAATGCCATATACTTTTCTTGTATCAGATTTTGTAAAAAACTAATGTCAAATGTTGACAAAACTATAGAGAAAGTGACATTCTCATTCTGTCAAACACTGTTGGTAGAAATGTAAATTGGTATAACCTTTCAATTTATTTACTATTTGATCTACCAATTCCATTCTTAAGAATATATCATAATCTAGCATTTTCCAAAGTGTATAGTGGGATGTTGACAGATGTTATTTGTGTTTGTGTAAGTGTAAACTTAATTTTAAATGTAAATTTATCAAATGTCATTTAAAAAATTTCCCTTTTTAAAGTTTTTCCGTTGCTGCTGCTGCTGCCTTTTTTTTTTTTTGTAATAGAGTTTATTTTTCAGAGCAGTTTTAGTTTCATAGCAAAATGGAGTGGAAAGTACAGAGACTCCCATATACCCCTTGCCTCCTGTGATGGTTAATACTGAGTATCAACTTGATTGGATTGAAGAATACGAAGTATTAATCCTGGGTGTGTCTGTGTGGTGTTGCCAAAAGAGATTAACATTTGAGTCAGTGGGCTGGAGAAGGCACATCCACCCTTAATCTGGATGGGCACAATCTCATCAGCTTCCAGCAAATGTAAAAGCAGGCAGAAAAATGTGAAAAGGAGAGACAGGCCTAGCCTCCAGGCCTACATCTTTCTCCTGTGCTGGATGCTTCCTGCCCTCAAACATTGGACTTCAAGTTCTTCAGTTTTGGGACTCAGACTGGCTCTCTTTGTTTCTCAGCTTGCAGACAGCCTACTGTGGAACCTTGTGATCCTGCAAGTTAATACTTAATAAACTTCCCTTTATGTGTGTGTATATATATACACACACACACACATATATGTATATAGATATGTATATATACATATATGTATCATATATCTATACATAGATGTATCTATATATACATATCCATATATACATATCTATATACATAGATATACATATATAGATATACATAGATACGTATATATCTGTGTATATATATACAAAACTCTGCTAGGAATCATAGACGATAGAAACAAATATATGTGTGTGTGTGTGTGTGTGTGTGTGTATACACAAAACACTGCTAGGAATCATAGACAATAAAAATATATATATTCTATTAGTTCTGTTTCTCTAAGAGAACCCTGACTAAAACATCTCCACACTGCCTCCCTCACTATCAACATCTTGAAGGCATATGTTATCTTAAGAATGCATTCCATGGTTAAATAAGTTTGATTTCTACAACCTTGGTATACGATAATACTATACACTAGGACATACATCTCTAAGATAGTGAATAAGTCTTTCCTTATGTTCTATAACACTTACTTTTAGAAATTATCTTAAAAAATCATCAGATATGAGTACATATCACTTAAGTCATGTTTAACACAAAGAAAACTGGAAGTATTCTATATATTTAATACGAGGAAGGTGGTTACATGATTCATGTTATAACCTTAAACTGGAATTTAAGGTAGATGATATTTACTGGCATGAAAGTTGCTGCAATAGGATGATATATTCTATACCTTGAAAACACTAAAGACTCCACGAAAAGGCTCCTGGAAGTTATAAATGACTTCAGCACAGTTTCAGTATACAAAAATCAGTAGCATTTCTGTACACCAATAATGTTCAAGCTGAGAGCCAAATGAAGAACATAATCCCATTTACAATAGTCACACACACATTCACAAACCTGGGAATACATCTAACTAAGGAGGTGAAAGATATCTACAAGGAGAACTACAAAGCACTGCTAGGAATCACAGATGACACAAACAAATGAAAAAACATTACATGCTCATGGATTGGAAAAATCAATATCGTTAAAAGGGCCATACTGCTCAAAGCAATCTACAGATTAAATGCTATTGCTATCAAACTATCAATGTCATTTTTCACAGAATTGGAAAAAAACTATTCTAAAATTCATATGGAACCAAAAAAGAGCCTGAGTAGCCAATGCAAATCCAAAGCAAAAAGAACAAAGCTGAAAGCATCACGTTACTCAACTTCAAACCATACTATAATGCTTCTGTAACCAAAAGAGCATGGTACTGGTGCAAAAACAGATGCATAGACCAATGGAACAGAATAGATAACCCAGAAATAAAGCCACACACCTACAGCCATCTAATCTTTGACAAAGTTGACAAAATTAAGCAATGAGGAAAGGACTCCCTATTCAATAGCTTGCTAGCCACATGCAGAAGAATGAAATTGGATCACTACCTTTCACCATATACAAAAATTAACTAAAAATGGATTAAAGATTTAGATGTAAGACCTCAAACTATAAGAATGGTAGAAAAAAAAACTAGTAAACACCATTCTGAGCATAGGCCTTAGGAAAGAATTTATGACTAAGTTCTCAAAAGCAACTGCAACAAAACAAAAATTGGCAATTGGGACCTAATTAAATTAAATAGCTTCTGCACGGCAGAAGAAATTATCAACAGAGTAAATAGACAATTCACAGAATGGGCTAAAATATTTGCAAACTATGCAACCAACAATTGTCTTATATCCAGAATCTATAAGGAACTTAAACAATTGAACAAGCAAAAAACTAACAGCCCCATTAAAAATTGGGCAAAAGGCATGAACAGACACTTTTCAAAAGAAGATATACAAGAGGCCAACAAACATAAGAAAAAGTGCTCATCATCACTAATCATCAGAGAAATGCAAATCAAAACCATAATTAGATACCTTCTCACATTAGTCAGAATGGCTATTACTAAAAAGTCAAAAAACAACAGATGTTGGTGAGCCTGTGGAGAAAAGGGAATGCTTATATACTGTTGGCGGGAATTTAAATTAGTTCAGCCACTGTGGAAAGCAGTTTGGAGATTTCTTAAAGAACTTAAAACAGAATTACTATTCAACCCAGTAATCACATTACTTGGTACACATCCAAAAGCAAACAAATTGTTCTACCAAAAAGACACATGCATTCACAATATTAAGCACTATTCTTAATAGTAAAGTCATGGAATCTACATAGGTACCCATCAATGGTGGATTGGATAAAGAAAATGTGGTACATATACACCATGGAATATCATGCAGCCATAAAAAAAGAATGAACTCATGTCTCTGCAGCAACCTGGACGCAGCTGGAGGCCATTATCCTAAGCAAATTAACACAGGAACAGAAAACCAATTATCGCATGTTCTCACATATAAGTGGGAGTTAAACATCAGGTACTCATGGCCATAAAGATAGCAACAATAGACAACAGGGACTACTAGAGGGAAAGGGTGGAAGGGGGAGCAAGAGTTGAAAAACTGACTGCTAGGCACTATGCTCAGTACCTGCGTGAAGAGATCATCTATACCATAAACTTCAGCATCACGCAGTATACCCAGTTAACAAATCTGCATATGTACCCACTGAATCTAAAATAAAAGTGGAGGAGAAAAAAATAAATAAAATTTTTAAAAAGGCTGAAATAAACTGCTAAGTAAAAGAAGCAGGATAGGGAAACACCATTTAAGCCCTATGGTGTCTAGTCATAATTCTTGTAACTATATAAATCCACATATTATACATAATACACATATATAAAAATAAATTTAGGAAGATATAACAAAATATGAAGAATAGTTACCTCAAGGTAGTAGGATAACTATATTTTTCTGTATTACCTTTTTTTTTTTAAAAAAAATAGTAAACATGTATTAATTTTCCAATAGAAATAATTTTTAGAGGCAACGTGTTTAAGCATCCTAATTTTGGAGAAATACAGCATTTTAATCTATAGATGTCAGGCACTTCCCATATTTAATACAAACTAAGTCTGTAGACAAAAACTACAATTGTATGAAGAATCTATGAAGAGAAACCATGATGCCTACCTTCTGGAGAGAAGTGACGAAAACATAACAAGCGTTGTGTGTGACTCAGCAGCGTAATGGAGGCGGTTAATTTCCAGATGCTCTATGTCTTTACAAGTCCCTATAAGGGAGTACCTCTTCTCTCTGGAACAGAAATAACACTGAGTACACACATTTATTTAAAGGCTGGTTTTCAAAATCAATAATAGTATTGTTGGCATTTGCCAAACAACTAGAGAGAATCAAGGTATTAGTATCTTGATTTGCCAAAGAACTAGAGAGAATCAAGGTATTAGTATCTTCATCCTTCAGAAATACTGTGATTAACTACCAGAAATAATTAAAGCAAATGTTATATACTTTATTTTCACATGTTTAATAATATAACCAGAAGAAATATACTTAATAAATTAAAAATTATTGATAAAAATAGTAGTATAATTTTGTATATCTACTATCTACCAGACACAATGCTAGATCCTTTATAGCTCATTTAATCCTCTCAACATCTTTTTATCTGATATTTATTCAACAATATTTATTGCTCTGTGCCAGGTACTGCGGGAAACACTGGAGATATAATGGTGATCACTCTCATGATACAAGATAGTCATTAACATTCCCACTTTAAAATGAGGTAATTGAGGCTCTGGGATTTAATATTAAATAGCTTAACTTCAAACCTACTCTTTCTATTATAGCCCAATTAAAAGGAGTTTGCTAGTCTTATCACCATCACCACTAAATAAACTCCAAACCTTTTAAGTTAAAATGGAAAATACCAAAAAATCCCAAAAAATCCCCAACAACTCATCTAAATGTAGTATAAAATATATAGAAAATACCTATATATAGCCTTTATAATTGGCAATATCACCTAATTTAATCCTCACTCAATCTCATGATATAGCTGTTAGTACTACCATTTTGTAGATGAGAACACTGTCTTAGAAATGTTCACCTTAAATCTGGGTCTGCCTAATTCTAATGCTTAAAAATCTCAAAAGGAGAATAAGAAAAGAAAAACTTACATTAAAATGGAGAAAGCAACAAAGAAGTAAGAAAAACAACTCATTTAAGCCGCCTGATGTATGCATACACATGCAAAACACACAGTGTCACACACCTGTATGGACTGTGGTACTGCCATTCAAACACCCATCATTATCTGGTAAAAGAGTACTGCGGTGGGAGGAGGATGACAGGGCAAAGCAACTAACTAGGTGGAGAAGCTGAATGAAAATCATCCTCAAATACAGATTGTAGCTACACAGGCTGCTTACTTTCAAGAGGGGTCTCACAGAAAAATAGCAGGAAATACTACCACTTCCTTGCTTATGACCTTAGGAAAGTTACTTATCTTCTCTAGGCTACAGTTTCCTATCTATAAATGAGGATAATAACAGTATCCAACTAATAGAGGTGTTATAAGGATTAACATTCACAAAGTACCTAAAGTATCATTTTCAATAATAAATGCTATATATATGTGTGTGTGTGTGTGTGTGTGTGTGTGTGTATGTGTGGTTTAAAATAAGTATCTGAGTGGGGTTACTTATATTAACAGAGCCCTTTCATGCAACATATTACTCTCAGTTATATTTTCTGTCTGTTAACATCTCAAGTAATCCTCACTTCAACCCTATGAGGTAGATATTATTGCCAGCTGGCTTTTAGCTTCAAAAGGCAGAAACTTGATTTTAGCAACTCCTCCAATCATTAGAAACTCATCAACTTAAAAGGGAAATTGTTTTGTTGTTGTTCCAAAATTATAGCCAATGAATTGGATAAAACACTATTTATCGATATCAAGTCTATCTTAAGTACCAAACCACCAAGAAATTACTTCATTACTATAAAATTAAAACACGGAGAATTGAAAATTCAAATTAGACCTCCCATCAAGCCATAGTAGTCTGCTTGTCTACTGTGTTAAAAATTTCCTTTTACATGATATGATACCTTGAGAAGGCACACCATCACCAGTGTAGTATTTTCATGAAGAATATTTAACCTAAATTTAACAATAAAAATGTTCAGAACTATCTAAACTAAAGTGACATCTTGCAAACAATTGGCCCAGGCTAATAAAAAAAAGTCAATGAGATTAGATCCCAAAGGCTAGAACTTCATGTCCCACTGGGGATAGGCAAGTAATGTGTTTACCTTCTGGCATGAAGGTATTGGGAAGCCTCATAGAGATTTGAAATTTCACTTGAGAACCCTGGCTTGTCCTAAGGACTGTTTGTTACTTTGTTAAAAATTTTAAAAGAGTTTTTAGGCAGAATGGAAGGAGTTGCTGAGAATAAACAGCCAGGGAATGAAGAATTCTGAAGGGAGAGAGGGACTCAAATCAGTGTTGAGATGTTGGTGAGCAGAAGAACTGATACAGAGAAAAAAGGGAAGGAGAAAAAACTCTGAACCCTGGGAATTATACAGTCTCTGGGAATTACACAGCAGGTATAGTTATGCACAAATAATCTGCTGATGTGGGGAGGAAATATCAGTACTTACCTGTTTTCTATAAAAATAAAAAAATAAAAGATTATATAAATAATATAGATTAACACTAGTACCTTTAAAGTATATTTTTATTGAGGATAGACAATAAATTTTAAATTTTATTTATTATTATTATTTTTATACAGTATGTGACCAAAATGTTTGGTGATCATTGTTCACAGAAACGAAAGAAAGACTTTCAGGTGTTGGTAGGTACTAGGACATTTGTTCCTGCTCTTAGGGATGAGGGAGACAGGGCAGTGCTTGGATGGCCTTCTGCTGAGTGGCCAGAGTTGACTGTGTATTGTACTGTTGTTAATCTGGAGGCATGATGTGGTCTGAAGCTCATATGAAAATGACAGATGAGTTCACTGAGATTCATCAAACTCTGCTTCATTTTCTTGCTTATTTATACAGAAATAAATGATACTTTGAGAAGAAATGTGGAAAACATAGTCAAAGATAATGAAAACTCCTGGGTGAGAAACTTGAAGGACATAGGGGCAAAGCAAGGCCACTCACTTTGGAGACTTGAGGGCCTCTCACTTTGACCCATGTGGGTGAAAGAAAGCTGGGAAAGGGGAAGGAACAGCCTACCATATCCTTTTTGTGAAAAAAACAAAATTTTTTTAGATCATGTATTGAGATGGTAGTGAGGAATGTGTTTCATCCAGAGGAAGACACGGCAGAAAAGGGGATGGAAGCACCTCTGCCTTAAGAATGCTATGTATGTCCAGTGCCAAGAATGAGCTTGAGATTTTAACAGTCATCACAGAGACTTGATAGGCATGAGGTGTCTGTCCTCCTTCACACTGGGGTGTCTATATCCAACCTGTGATCTGTCTCCTGTCCCCATCATCCCCAACTTAGCTCCTCTCCACATTGTCACGAGTGCCTGCTCAAAAGTCCTTCACTGGGTCCTGTCTGTGGAATCCAGCCCATTGGCATGGTTTGGTCAGCCCAAATTTGAATGTCTTTAGGCAGAACTCATACAATTCAGTTTGCCACAGGTCTATCATTTCACATCATATGTTTGTGTTTGTTTTCTGCCTGTCCCTTAAAGCTTTTGAATTCTGAAACACAGGAGGAAGTCCAGATACATTGACCCAGCATACAAAGGCCTGCTCCTGTGTGTTTCTCCTGACTCATGTTTCATGGTAATATCCTCACAGGTGACTCAGATCTCTAAACTGTGTGCTTTGCAAAAACATAAAAAGTAATACATTATATTTTGCTCATATGATGATCTCTGCTTTCCCTTTTTTGTCTGCTTATCTTTCAAGTTAGCTGAAATGTCATTTCCCCACTGACATGTCTTTCCTGAATCTTTGAGAGAGGACAGACATCTGCCTCTTTTGTGCTCCTTCTGGACTTTATATGGTCTTTATCATAGTATTTATAACATTTTACTGATGATTATGTACAAATGCCTGGAACCTGACACCATGCCTGCCATTTCATAGGTGGCCAATAAATGTTTTAAATGAGTTAAAAAAATGTCAACAACATGACAGACACAAAAGGCTGGGATTTTTTTTTTTTAATTAAAAGAGATTAAGCAGATATAACAACTAAATACAATGTATGAACCTTGACAGGACCTTAGATCAGGAGGAAAAAGACAGCTATAATTAATGGACAACTGGGAAATCTTAAATATTGATTAAAAGAATCTCTGTCAAAAACACATTGAAAACTATCTTAGGTCGTTTATTTCTTTAGATAAAATTATTCATTCATGCATTTATAATAATATTAAGTACCTATTCAGTGTAATAACCCTGCAGGTAAAAATTCTTGTAAGTAACAGAACCTAAAATACAGACTTGGCTTGGCCAAAAGGGTCAGGTGAAGGGTAGTGAGGGCCCCTCTATCTCAGTCTGGCAAGTTAGCAAAATAACTAAACCATCATCTGTTACATTTCAGGACTCAGACCATCTGCCTACTGAAGTATTTTTCCTTCTAATGGAAGGGAAAAATTCAGACTGTTGGAGCAGGTTGGCTGCTTTATGCAGCCTTCAGTAAAGTCCTACAAGAAAGAATGGAAGGTCAGGAAGCAGTGAAGGAAAAAAAGATGTCTTCGCCAATAAAGCTACTTTTTATCCGTGGCTGAGAATAGGAGATCTGGACATTAGTAAGAGTGAAGAAGCCAAATTACAAATGCTTCATAATTATCTTGTATCTATTTTTTGAATAGGTTATTCACATGACATAGAATTTTAAAGATACAAAAAGAGAGTAAAAAATCTCTCTCCCAGTCTTGTCCCCCAGCCATCTGTTTTCTTCACTCCCCAGAGGCAACCCCATTACCACTTTCATATGTCCTTCCAGAGATGTTCAATGCATTGCCATACTACACATACATTTCCACAAATGAAGCAGGTTATGCATACTGTTCTATACCTTGCTTTCTTCATGTAAGATGTTTTGTCAACTGATCATATCAGCACATACAAAGCTGCCTTGTTATTTTAAGAGCATCATTGTATAAAGCTTACATGATAAAAACCATAGAGTAGACAAAAATGCAAGAGGATGTAACCATTTTATTTTATATAAAGAATATGGCTGTATTCTTTATATAAAAATATACCACTAAAAACTTAGAGTACCATTAAAAACACAGAGTACACAAGAATGCA